AGTCAAAAACCTATTTATATATATATATATATACAGCTACAAGCACCTATAAGATCCTATATGTGTTCTGCTCCCGCCGACAAGACCCTTCTAAGCAATGTGCCGTCGCTGTCCGCAAGTTGCCCTGACAATGTGCCATGTGATCACCCTCTCTCCCTCTCCCTCTGTCTCCCTCGATCTCTCTGTGCGCACACGGTTCGCGGCCCACCCAATACCATGGTGACACTCTGAAATGTGCTCTGGATCGATTCTCGTCTCGTCCTCCTTCATCCCCTTGGAATGACATCTGGGATCACAAGACTTAGACCCTATTTTGTTATTCCCTACTCGCATGTCTTGGGGAAGATCCAACCCACAGCTTGTGGTTTTTGTTTAGTAGGCGACAACCCTCCAGCACGCCCGCGTGTCTCGCATGTATGTATGTTCTTTTATGCGAACTGGTTTAGAAATGCTGCAGCCAAGCATCCTTGTCTAGATTCGCTTCTGCGACACTTAACGCGCCGTTTTCTTTAGTCAAACAAGGGAGGAAAGCAGATGTAAACCTTGGACAACGATCAGCACACGAAAACTAACCCACCCTCCCTCCAAAGCAAAGCTGCAAAAGGCTGTTTTGGTTGGTTGCCTTCAGAGCTTCCATCATCCAGCTCTGCAGTTCATGAACCTCTGGTCATTGAACTTGCATTTCATACCTCACCTCTCCAAATGCGTCTATTTAACACAACGCAACGCTCGCGCTCGCGCCCGCGCATCGAACGACGAACGAACGAGTATCACCTACCTCAACCTCCACAACATCCTACTCACCTCACCTTACCGCACATCCCCAGACCACACGTACCTGCCCGTTCACCCTCTTGCCCACCTACAAGAGGCGCAGCACCTTTATTCCCTAGTCCACTTCGGGATCACGAGGGAGTCGGAGATGCTGCCTTCTTCGGGCACTCCGCGTTGGGATGTGCTGGTGAGAAGCAGTTCATGCACTTGTGCACTCGCCGCGCCTTTCCTTTGCAGTCGGAACCTGCTGGGGAAGTCCCGCGCATGGTCCAACTCCTTTCGCCCAACTTTTAACAAATTTCTTGTCCGGCTTGATCTTTACCTTTTCCTTTGCCCTTACCCTTGCTCATCTCGCCTTTTGGGCGTTGCTCACGAAAGTTGTCAAGTTCTTCACGATCTGACGCCCAACGCTTTCTCTTCGCCATCCGCTTGTCCCTATTCGCTTGTCTTCGCCTCTACCCCCTGTCGTCCTCATCACCACGTTCTGCGGGAAGTCCAGGACGATGTGCCATCGCGATGGTTTCAGCTGGAGGTCGAGGCGAGCCATGTGCCCCGCTAGCCAGCCATGCAGCAGCTGGGTGGCGCACTTGCTCATTCCAAAACCTCTCATCCAAAGCCAAGGCTCTAAAACACGCCGTCCATGGTTCCTCCTCGGTGAACTCCCGGGGGGGGTGTCCCGCCTGCCGCTATGTCCAACACGATGGCCCTTCGAGTCTTCTCTAGTTTCTCTGCCCTCGCTTTGCCGTCGGCTTGAACAGTCAAGCCCCAAGCTTTGGGCCACTGCAACACCAGCTTTTCAATGACCTTTTCGTACAGGAGGAGGGCGGCAAGGGTCACCAAGTTTAAAGAAACACATGCCACTTTGAAAACCCTCCAACTGACCAACCATTGCTGCAGGTTCTGGGGACCAGGCACCTCCTTCATCACAAAGGACCCGTCTCCTATCGGCAGGAAGGCCCTGAATTTCTGGTTCTTCAACACTCTTCTTCCGAAGGGCAACCACACCGAGAAGTCTACGTAGGGTGGCTGCTTCTGAACACGTACTCTATGATGTAGGGCCGCAAGCTGTGCGTCTGTGGGTTCTTCTTCTTCTTGAGGAGGGGCACCCATCACCGCTATGCATCTTTGAGCCCATTCATTCAGCATGACTGCATCAGGCAGCTTGGTCTCAGAGTCGTCCGTCTGATCCACGATGTTCGACATCTTGAGCACGTTGTCCTTGCTTCCGCTCGCTGTTCCCCCTGGGCCTGGAGGACTAGCTGGAGCTCCAGCTCCCAAACCTGTACCATCAGGAGGTCCCGCATGAAGGTCTGGTGTCCAAGGGTCACGGTCCACGAAGGCATCCGGGCTACCACCTCCACGTAGGTGTATCACCCATCTTGCATTGCGCCATACTAACCCCACCTGAGCCGCTTGGATGGGGGGTCAACCTGTCGCCACTGGCCAAAGTAGCGGAGCCCACAATCTGAGGGATCGTCCAGTGAGGCATTGCTGCAATGAGCCTCAAGTCATTCCCCGGGCCGCCGGCAGTCGCAACAAACGAATCCCACAAACCATCAGGCACATTCAAGCGATGCAGGAGGTCCGGGATCTGGTGAACCTCCTGGGCGTCCGCGAAGGCCAGCAAAACCATGACCCATCCGCGGCACGCGCCCTCGAAAACAAACCTGTGGGCCTTGAGCCCACCTGACTTCAAACAGGGAGGTACACATTCACTCCCTCCCACCTCATATTTCTAAAACCGCTGGCCTTTTGTCCCTCAGAACCTTTGGTTCCTCTACTACCAGCGCGCAACTACAAAAAAGAGGGTCAGCGGCACAAGGACGTTTGCCCATTCTTTACAGAATGAAGAATGGGTATATGTACATATGTATATGCAAACCTATGTGTGTGCACATCACGCATGATCAAACGATTGATGGCTGTCAAAATGACCCCAGGCTTCAAACTTCAAACTCGACTTGCCGCCAATGTTACTGTAATGTGACGTGCCTTGAAGCAAGTCGCTAACATTGTCACGAGCTTCTGCAGCTCCTACAGCGCCAGATTCGTTCGAAGGGCATGATTCCAGTTGTCTCTTCCTGTCGAAACTCCTTGAGAGACCTGGTTCTTCGCAGTAATTGCATCAGCCGCACAATTCCTCGGAAAACCAAATGCAAAAACTCAGCTCTGCTCCAAGGGAGACCGAAGGGAGCAGTAGAGACCGGTGCCTTTTAAGACACCCAATGCTTCAGGGATCGCCGAGCATCGAGCAAGACGGAGCATCCGTAAGACGCTGAATTTGTCCAGCAAGTCATCGCCATCAGTGCCACCCGAACTGTTGTCCACAATATGTATCACCACTTCAGCATATCCACACATGATGATAACCTAAGCAATGGATCGCATGTGCTCTATTTCGGAGTTTGGTTGCAAATTGGAAAGCAATATTCCCCCTGTCATCCGAGCTGCTATATCAAGTATCACCATCCAGTCCTTCAGCAAACGCTTGCCTTTCGCAAAGAATAGTATAGGCAGCTCACATGTGTACAAGCAAAGGCAAAGATCGGAGAAGGTCCTTGGTTGGAAGGGGTGCTCATGGCATCACATGCAACGCACAAGACCAAGTCGACGCGGAATACCTGGAAATTTTGTATGTAGAGATCGCTTGGAAGCAAGGGTCAGAACCACTGGCGAAGTCGGAATATGCAGAGCTCTGTTGTCTATATCAATGGCAGTCAAGTAGGAATCAAACACAACCACCAACGCCAAGAAATTTGCTGTGTAGTTACCTGCAGCCAAGGCAAACCCTCTTTGGTGATATAACATGATGCACTTTAAGTTTTAAACCAAAAACTTTGCCAGCCTTCGACTAGGAAAACTGCAATCTTCTTGGCCCGTCCATACCAGCTGACATCTTCGACAACTACCTGCACTGCTCAAGCATGAGGTTATGCTCTTCAAAACACAGCGGCTCCATGGAATAAGTGACTGAGTCTAGTCGTAGCCGCAACCGCATGCATCTAGCGTCATGTCCTCAACTTCAAAGTGCGTTCAGGTTTGCAAGACAACAGAAGAGGGCTGGGTCAAACCTCAGGGACCTGCTGACCCCACAAAATGAATGAAATGGACTGCCAGCAATGCTTTGACCTCACCATGTCTTTCTCTCTCTCTCTCTCTCTCATGATTCAGTCTATGATGGAAACCAAAAACAATACAGTATATCAGGCACATTGCACAACATTTGGGACCTGGAGAAGCTCAAAGCTTTAGGCCTTGTCCTCCTTCTTGCTGACAATGAACTGACCCATGCTGGGCGATCGCTTTCTCATGCCAGGGGAAAGTGATGTCCTTGGCGTTGGAGAGCTCATCCCCCTGCCAGACAAATGTGGGGCACGAAAACCAAACCCTGTCCTTCCTACGGTTTTTGCACATTTTTGGAGTGGCACCTTGCCATCTTGTCGGTTCCAAAATCTCTGACCTGACTGTTTTGAAGAAAGCAGCATGTGGCATATTGATATTCTCAGGCCCTGCCTTGCAAGCTGGGTACTTGATTGGCTCGTGGTTCCATCCGCACCTCCTTCTCCCGGCTCCCAGGATGTAGGGAGCTGTATCTCCAAAAGGCACTCCCAGTAGCACTGTGTTTTATCGGTTTTATGGCCAAATCCGAAAATGAGAAATGGTCCAAACTATCTGCCTCAATTGTTGCAGCATTTGACTCCTCATGTGTCGGCCCTTTGCAAAAAGTGACTCAAAGTGTTCAGCAAACCTTGTAAAACAAAATACGGGCATCTGAAAATCAGCCGAAAACCCATGAATGTCAATAAGGCATTACATTTAACAATGAAACACATAGACCATAGACCTGTGTAAGCATGCAGTTCTCACGCCCAATGGCATCTGGAAACATCTGAGGGCATTTCGTAGGGCTTAGCTTGGCCACAAGGGAACTGCAATGGCCAACTCACATGCACTGACCACAAGACCGGTAGATGTCAGTGTCACTGCCTGCTGGCAAAGAACATCATCCGATGCAGGATCCATTGCAGCATGGCAGGAGCGCTTTGCGCACGGGGACTTGGGCCCAGTTGGCTCAAAAGGCAAAAGGCATGCCAAATGCACCTGCAACAAACATCCAAACGCAAGCCTTTGGGGTTTCTCCCACCTGCTGATCTAGCATGCCAGTGTGAAGTTCATTTGCATCGCAACACTGACAGGCACTTCACTCCAAAATCGGCTCAGGTCACGGATCCTTTACTTTGGCCGCATTGGCTGCCTCGTCGGCCTCGCTGGCCTTATGGGTGACAGAGTGACTCCACGACTTTCCGAAGTCGACCTGCACCAGCTTGTGAGAGTTTGTGTGCAAGTCTCCGGTCTTTGGATCTGGCCAGACTTGTCCAGGATTCCATTTTTGCCCCTCAAAAACCGAATGAACGGAGTCTATTTGTATGCTTTGATGCCAAAAGCTTCTGATAGTTTCTGCTTTGCAGGCAAGGTGGAACAATGAGGGCCACCGTTGTGGCGTTGCGCACCCGAAATGTCCAGGTCCAAAGAAGCATGAGCAAGCTGGAGTCAACAATACTTTGTTTGTGAGGTTTAAGCAGAAGTAAGGGACGCAATGCCATCGGCACAGTTTGCCAAAGCCCCGGCTTCTTGCAAAACAAGTCTCCGTAGGGTTAGCTGCCAGTGTGGTAGGCGCAGGCTCTAGGGCGAGTCCCTGAGTCTTGATTGCTAGCGTCACTGCACACTCAACGGTCTGGAACAAATCCCAAAGATCAAATCACGTTTTGTCACTAAGCGCTCCACCGGAACCCCCCCCGTCCCATGCAAAATGCCCGGGCCCGAAAACCGTGCTTCATGGGGTTGCTGGCTCTCAATCGTGGAAAGTAAGTTAAGGTGCACAAAGCCGTGTTGCATGACCACAACTGCTAAATCGGCAACTTGGAGATTCTATTAGACGACGCAGCTCACATGGCTACAAAATGCCCATGTACACTGCTTCCCCCTTGCACCTCCTCCGATTTGATCGCAGGAATGCGTGGAGGTGCCCTGAGCCAAGGGCTGGTCTAGGTCTGGATCTCCCTTGTGCGGGAATGATTCAAGAAGCATGCGCGCCCTCTCTCTCCATATATATATATATATAGTGCTAATATAATGCGCGCATTATGTATATAATCCGTATATCCATGTAGTCTAAACAAACGGGCATTACTCCTCTCCATCACAGCATCTTCAGCCAATTGTGAAAAAATCCATGTGCATCTGTTACCCCCTTTGGCATGATTCTGCACTACCATCCTTCCTATTATCTATCGGAGCAGGTCCTGACAAGCTGCTCCGCACCAAAGTTGGGAATGCCATAGAAGTAAAGAAATACAAAGCCTGCGATCACGTGTGAACGAACTGAGCTTGACTCTGAATGTAAACTCCCGCCAAGGCCGCATCTTACCCGGCCTATTGAGCCTGGCAAGAGGGAGATGGTGAAGAAACTTGGTTGCCATCCGAAACTTTTCCTCTTCGACATTGGCCATGAAAAGTACACCTCACGTTCAGGCAGCCACAAATCTAATGGCTGGGCCAGTCAACTTCGTGCAAAGTGCAGTCAGTCGTACCATCATTGCTTGAAGGTCTTAGAAGCCAAGGTTCAAATCCTTATTGAAAAATGGGTTCATGAATTATGAATCACGGTTTGTGGCTCATGACTACTCGTGCTTGCCTGACTACTGAATGTGTTCATTCCTGTTCATGTACGTTCCGCTAGTTTCTTGAACCGTATGTATGGGATCCAAAAGGTGCTTATTGCTCACAAGGCAACGCTGCGCTAAAAAAAGAGGCGTCAACTTCAACTCCGGTAAACTCCTTAGGTAAGTCTGAAGCTTGTGCCACATTGCCTGCCTGGATTATTGCATCACTTGCGTCCTCGAATGGCTTAGAGTGAGCTTGTTGCAATCTAGTCCGAAGACTCGTCCGATGGAAAGATCCAAGAAAGACTCCGATTCCTGGGATTTTCATGACGAGCTCCTAAACCTACACCTATCCATCGTGCATCGTATGTGACATGCCACTTCGAGTGTGATAGTCATGAGTGTCTATGACTGTGTGTGTGCGTCTCTCTCTCTCTCTCTCTGTGTGTGTGTAACCGTGACAGTGCGTTCCGCTTCTTTCAGGGCTTTGCAGTTCAGACCGGCAAACTTGAGCCAAAGGCTTTCGGCAACGTCTTTCCCATGCACTCCAACCATGGCTGCGGTTAGTACTTTCTCACACCCTTCTCAGCTCTATGATTTACTGCACCTGAAATGGCACAAGAAAGCTTGCTTCCTGCTTGACATATCCTTGAATACCTGACACGAGACACCAACATCTGCTAGCAGCCCTTTCTGGCACAGTTAGCTGCTAGCTCTGTGCAACCCTCGCCGATTCCAACGACTCCGCTGCGCAGGGAAAACATCTTCGTAGACAAGTCAGAAAGGAAAAAAATGATGGTTTTTTACATCCACGTAAACTCCAGAGATCCCCGTGGCCTAAAACTTTCGCTGGAAGCTGTTGTGAAATCTGCTGAGGGCCAGCTCTGCTTCGCAGAGCTGAGTTGAAAATCTTCCCCTATTTGCAAGTCTAGTCTAGTTTTGGGACAGCTTCTTCTATAATTCAGATGCGAACACTTCTGGTCAACATGATAGAGCCGACGGATGGGCAGAGATTCATGAATATTCACCTTAACTTGAATTGAAGGCCTTTGGTTCCAGGACTTGCTGGATGGGAACGCTTTTCGTCGTGGTTATTTTTCGACTATATAAATCAAATTGACGGGCAATGCGCTCACAATCCAATGGACGAGCAGAAAAATGAGGAGCATCGCGTGGGAATAATGTGATGAAATGTTGCCCAGGCATCGTTGACTATCATTAACCTGCCGAGATGCCAAAGTTGCACTGGAAATGCAACATTGCCCGCAAAGCCACAGTCTGTGACTGCTGTGATGGCATGCTTGGCCGACTGTACTTGGCAGTCACACAGCCAAAACGAGCAAAAAAAGGGTGTGGAAGGGTTGAGTTGGCTGGGCTAAGCCAGTCTCACAGGTACTGAGCTCACTCTGAGGTAGCTTTGGACCGGCCCCAGCGTCACCCACCGCTTCGCCGAGGATAACGCCCATGCAGACACCAGTGAAGCGCCGGGCAATGAAGCCATTGTCTCCAATTGGGTGCATAAAACATAAAATACATCTAGAATCTAGATTATGGATACAAAAAACACTGGATGCTCATTGCAGTTTCTGGGCGTCTGCCGAAGAAAGCTCTAACAACGGGTCCAGCTGCTTTCCGCTCTGCTAGCCACAAAGGTCTTGGCAAAGAAGTGAATGTGACATGCCAGCAGTACCCCTATCAGCTGACAGGAGTGCAACTGCATTTATGTTTTACAATTTATAATGTTTTACAATTTTTTGGTGGGCTGTCTAAATGGCAGGTGAGTGGGTTCTATCCACACCAATTGGTTTCAACCTCTACTCAACGGAATGTCAGGGTGCGAAAGGGCGAAAAAGCAGCAAGACACTCGTCGAATCCAGAACGGAGTACCCTCAGCCTGGTTCTTACTGACCTGCAGACTGTGCCCAAGAAACCCTGAAAGGCACAGCTTCTCAAGCACGAAAATGAGGGGTCTAAGTATGAACGAAGGATGACTGCGTCCTTTTCGCTTGCTGAACATCCTCTACCCTCGCCCACAGCATGTCCCATGCACAGCCACACCCAGTCCTGGCTCAATGCGGCTGTGCTGGCACCACATGGCCTTGCATAGAGAGCAGACTTTTGCTCCAACCACAACTTTACAGCCGTACTCCTTCAAAGCCGACACTCATCATCAGACTGTTTGCAAAGGTGACTGGAGTAAGCATATTTGTTGTTTTGCTTTGAAGACTGCAATGTTGTAGTCTTTTAGTGTCAATGTTGATGACTTCTTGCACACTATGGCCAGGGCAAATGGAGCCATGGCGATTGGTCCGTGGCGCCTAAGCACATCCAGCCAAAGGAAGTTGTGTCTTTTTAGAAGGCTAAAAAATCAACACGAGAGTGCATCGTTTGCCAATCGGAAGCGAACACATTCGACTGGCTTCCTCCGGCGATCCCTGTCGCCATCGTGCCTCGCGATCGCTGTCGCTGTCGTCAAGTCCTGATGAGCTGCTTCTGCTCTCTGCCTGTCGTGTGAGTTGAGGGCCTGGTGTTTGCAATCAAAACCATCCAAGAAATTTACAAAGCCCATGATACCAGTACCTTCAAAACTGGAACAACTATAGTAGAGGCCATAAACAAAAGAATGAATTTGCCTCCTGCTCCTGGCGGGCAAGCTGCATGCGTTCAACCAGCTCCTCACAAAAATATCATAGCAACGGAGAAAAAGGCTTCATTTAAGAGTCTCTACCGTATATAATGATGGTCTGAGTTACCGCTTGATATCGCTAGCGCCTGCAGTTGAGGAGGAAGCTTTCCAGGACCTGTTCCGTTGCCACTGTTTTGGCTCACCTCAGATGCCGCACCTGCTCTTGTGACCTCATGTATACAATCTGGTCAAAAAATGCACCTCAGAATGTTCAGTGATAGATGTCTACAAAACGCCATGTCTCTCTCCCTCTCTCTCTATGTACATATATATGTGTGTTTATACTGAGTTTGGCTGACTGCCTTATCCTTCTGTCATGGAAAGCCAAGAGGCATAGCTGACTATGGAGAAGCGGTGTAGCATGCCATTGCTCATGCGGCGCAATCCATTGAGAAACCTGCACGCATGCAATTCTGAATTGAATCCTAGAGTGCAAGCACCTGTGTACCCCCTGTCTGTCATGAGACTGTCAGAAGTTGTCTCTGAGAACTGGGAGTAAGTCTGCATAGCAAAGTGAGATTAATGCAGGTTTTACATGTAAAAAATGATAAAAACAATGCCTTGGAATATCAAACCATCGGAGTGAGTCTCCCAGGTCATGGCCTTGTAAAGTTCGGGCTCAACGGCTCAGGTTGGATGACGGTCCTTGGTATGCTGAGTGTGTGTGTGTGTGTCCATTGATTGTTTGCCGTTCTTTCATTCTTTCGTTCTTCCTTTCTTCCGGATTGCTTCAGTATGCCAGTATGGCCTTTGTTCTACTATGTTCTACTCAATGTCAGTGAATTCACCGGCACACCATTTGCAAAGAAATTGAAATCATGAAGAGCAGGTTGAGGATTTTCATATGCAATTGCCAACTGCCAAGATGCCCCAGGATCTCTTCGGCCATGCTCATAGCACTAGCAGCCCATGAGTACACATGTTCCTCCTCAGAGCACGTGAGGGTTTCACCGACTCACGTCATCTTGAAGCAGCATTAGGTCTGCACCGAGATTCATCGATCCAAATGTCAGAGAGCATCTCAGGAGCTTCTCGAAAATACCGCCAAAATTTCTTCGCATATGTGCGGACCTGTTCCAAGTTGGGGTTCATCTAGTTTCGTGCGGCATCAATTAAAACTATAAAGAACGCCGAAAGTGGGATTCAGTCTGTGTCCAAGCTTGCTGCACGTCTCTCCATGACATGCTTGGTCCAAAAAATCCAAGATGCTGTCACTTCTTCTTTGAGGATGTCCTGTGAGTTGGAAACGCAAAGATTGTTCGTACTACCAATAAGGGCCTTATGCCAAAGGATTCTCACTGACTGAACCCTTTTTTGTGCACTATATACAGTAATTACTTTTCTACAAGCACATTATTCCGGAGGAATCTGCTATTGTGAAAGTCCTGCACTTTCAATGCGTCGAGGCAGACGAGCTCCTTACAACATGTCAAAGCACTCGAGTAAATCAAAAAGGGCGCGAACCTCTGCTCCGCCGTTCTACACAAATAAACTCAAAGAATGCAGTCACCGCTGCCTTGCAATAGTGCATATTAAGCATGCACATAACAATTACTATTCATTCGCAGGCAAACCACACTGAACAGGATTTGCCGCAAATGACAAATTGACTTGAACAGCTCGAAAGCAGCTCGCAAGAGCAAGATCACGCACTTGTTTCATGCACAAATTCAACACTTCCAGACTTGGCACTCAAGTATCTGAGAGCAGGCCGTCCACTTGGGCGACTGGGATTGATCTTATGCAGTAACGGCGGGAGGGGACGGAGGATGCTTGAATTGGACCATTTTGATCAAATGCCGCCCAGCTGCACTCTGAGAACTGCTACTCGCAGTGCCAACATGCTGCCATTTTAGCCATAGAGCTGGCTCAACCAACCAAGGTTGGGTAGTCGTAATGGCTTGATGCCTCGGAAACAAACACGCACGAAAAGGCACGAAAACCAAAGAGGACCAAAATGCTCCCTGGTCAAAAACCGAGCCAACGCTGCAGCTTGTGCTTTAGCATGCCCATTATGTCACTTTGTACATCTGGCACAACCCAAGTGAATCTCAAAAAAGTGTTTGGAAGTTCACCTCGACAGTTAACAGGTCAATTAATAGGTTTCAGCGAGTCACTCGTCATCATCGCGAGTATAGATCAGGGTACCCGAGACGAGGAAGTACATGTGTTTGCCTGCCTCTCCTGTGGTGATGAGCTCCTGACAAAACATGCAGAAAAAAAGAGAGCGGGGGACTGTGAGAGTGCAGTTTTTTAATTGCTCCCGAATGCGTAGCGAAGGGTTCCCGTTTATAGTTGGGGGTCTGGGGGTTGGAGCTGTGTTCGCGTGGCTTGCGTCGTCTCGTCGTCTGTCGTCGTCTGTCGTCGTCTGTCGTCGTCTCTCGTCGTCTCTCGTCGTCTCTCGTAGTCTGTCGTCGTCTGTCGTCGTCGTCGCGTCTCAAATTTGCTGCCATTGGGGGAAGCTTTTGCAAGTGACTGTGCATGGACGTGTCACGTGTCAGTTTGCGCCGCAATTCCACTTTGATTGGCATGACACCGACATGTCGCGCAAGAAACGTGATGCATTTCGCTGCACAGGCGCAGCGTTTTGTGAGATCCGCAGTTTGCTCGCAGTGCCATTGGGATTAGCGTTTGGAGAGTCGTGTTTTTGGGGTGTTGGATGTGGCCGTGCCATTGGGATTTGCGTTTCAGGGTGTGGCATCGAAGCTCTGTTTTCGTGACAAGTCTCAGCTGAAATGGCGATTTTGGTGGATGGGAGTGTGCTCTGAACGGGTCGAAATCATTCCAAACGTGTGGTGTGGTGCAAATTTTGTTGAAGCTGACACGCGATGATATTGTCACTTTTCGTGGCAGGCGCAGGACTTCGTGCGGGCTTTGAAGCGTGGAAGTGCAATTGAGCTGTGCTCAAAACGTGTGGCATCTGCCTATGTCGTAAGACTTTCCTTACGCAGCAGCTTACGCCTGGCTTACGCCACCACAATGGCAGCTTACGCGCACACTTTGCACACAAAGGGGCTTACGCAACACTTACGCGAACACAATCTTGCACCCGGCCACAGCGCCAGCTTACGCGCCATCTGTTTTCCAAGCAAAGCACAGCACACAACAGGTTTGTTACGTCCGCGGGTGTAGGGCAGTGAGAAGCCAGGATTTCGTAGATGGTCTGGACAATGCGTTGCCTTTGGCGCCATTGCGAGTCAGAAAAAGCCTGCTCTTTAGGAGGCATCGTGGGCCACCGTCTACAAAAGAGAGGGGGGGCTTACGCGCAGCTTACGCGAAGCTTACGCGCGCCTTACGCGTTTTACCGACACCAAAACCGATAACTGCATGGTGACATAGTGTGTCTGACAACTGCTGGTAGACTTTATGGCTACGGGAGTTGTTTGTATGGCTATAGGAGTAATGTTTGCATGAGTCGACCCATAAAATCTCTGTCCTGATGCCTATGTCCTGTATATAAATGACTACAGGAACCCCAAGAACCCTTCTTTCTGTGGAGCCAATCACCTTCGACCATACCAATTGCCAAGAAAAAAATCCAATGCAAGGCTTCATCAACAAAGGTCTCCTATAATTTCCAAACATTTCAAGAATACATGTGACATGTATGTTAAATTTCGACTTGCTTACGCGGCTTACGCAAGTTTCATCTCACAAAAAACGCTTACGCAACCTTACGCACATCAGAGTTTTGCTTACGCGAAGGATTCATATGACAAGCCCACTACTAAACGTGAACAGGGAGGTTCTTAGCGCGGCTCAATTCTCGTGGCAGGCGCAGGGAACCGTGAGGTTGCGAGGTGTGAGGGAGGTGACATTTCGTGGCAGGCGCAGTACTTTGCGCGCGTTAGACGTGTGGATGGGGAAAGATTCGTGGCAGGCGCAGGGAATCGTGAGGTTGTGAGTTGTGGTAGAGGTGAATGTCGCTGTCACATTGGGATTGGCGTGTGAGCGGATGTTGTTTGGAGGGGCTGGAATCGCGAAACTGCTTGGCAGGGCTGCGTGATGTGTGTGTGCTCCGATGGGTGTTTCCGCTTGACTTTTGGAGGAAGTCTCGTACGAAACGCTCTTTTTGCAGACTTTGACGTGTGAGTTTTTGAGGAAGTCTCGTACGAAACGCTCGTTTTGGAGACTTGACGCACAACCCTCTGCGGAGATCGCGCAACACCAGTGTCCTACAAGAGTGTCCCACAAGAGTGTCCCACAAGAGTGTCCTACAAGAGTGTCCCACAAGAGTTTCCTACAAGAGTGTCCTACAAGAGTGTCCTACAAGAGTGTCCTACAAGAGTGTCGTGTAAGAGTGTCCCACAAGAGTGTCCTGCAAGTGACCCACAAGAGTGTTCTACAAGAGTGTCTCACAAGAGTGTCCCACAAGAGTGTCCCACAAGAGTGTCCCACAAGAGTGTCCCACAAGAGTTTCCTACAAGTGTGACCCACAATAGCGTCCTACAAGAGTGTCCTACAAGAGTGTCCCACAAGAGTGTCCCACAAGAGTGTCCCATAAGAGTGTCCCACAAGAGTGTCCCACAAGAGTGTCCCACAAGAGTTTCCTACAAGAGTGTCACACAAGAGTGTCCCACAAGAGTGTCCTACAGTGTCCCGCAACAGTGTCGCTCAAGAGTCTCTCACAAGAGTGTCCCTTAAGAGTGTCCGACAAGAGTATCCCACAAGAGTGTCCTACAAGAGTGTCCCACAAGAGTGTCCCACAAGAGTGTCCTAGAAGAGTGTCCCACAAGAGTGTCCCACAACAGTGTCCCACAAGAGCGTCCCACAAGAGTGTCCTACAAGACTGTCCCGCAAGAGTATCCTACAAGAGTGTCCCACAAGAGTGTCCCACAAGAGTGTCCCACAGAGTGTCCCACAAGAGTGTCCCGCAAGAGTGCCCCACAAGAGTTTCCTACAAGAGTGACCCACAAGAGTGTCCTACAAGAGTGTCCTACAAGAGTGTCCCACAAGAGTGTTCCACAAGAGTGCCCTATAAGAGGGTCCCACAAGAGTGTCCCACAAGAGTTTCCAACAAGAGTGTCACACAAGAGTGTCCCACAAGAGTGTCCTACAGTGTCCCGCAACAGTGTCGCTCAAGAGTGTCTCACAAGAGTGTCCCTTAAGAGTGTCAGAGAAGAGTATCCCACAAGAGTGTCCTACAAGAATGTCCCACAAGAGTGTCCTAGAAGAGTGTCCCACAAGAGTGTCCTACAAGAGTGTCCCACAAGAG